GGTTGCTGGAAAACCCTTTCCTGCCCCTGCACGCTTGAGGGAGCACACAGGAAGACATCGCTTGGTTCCAGTTGCTGACTTGATAGCTATCATATATGTATATGACACACTAATACGTAAGTCTGATCGAAGGCCAGCATTGTTAGGAGTGACCTTGGTTGTTTTTTTAAATATTTATTTCAGAGAGGAAGGGAGGAGAGCTAGAAACATCAATGATGAGAATCATTGCTCAGCTGCCTCCTGCACACCCCACACTGGGGATTGAGCCCCAACCTCCCCCAACCTGACAATGTGCCCTGACCAGGAATCGAATCGTGACCTCCTGGTTCATGGGCTCACGCTCAACCTCTGAGCCACACAGGTCGGGCAGGAGTGACCTCATTTTAACTGAGTAAACACTGGCTCAATCTGAAGTGTGGTTTCAGTGAAGTAGGGTTGACAAATGGATTGAATGTTAAATATTAATTTTGTAGATAGAAGCTTTGGAGAAAATGAATGAAGATCACGTTCAGAAGAATGGAAGGAAAGCTGCTTCATTTTTGAAAGACGACGAAGGTCCTCCAGTCCCACGCGACGCATAGCACCAATACCCGCGGCTCTCACTGGCGACCCAGCGGCGACTGCCAGCTGCCAATGCCAAATGAAGTTATGGGCAACTTGAGATACCAACACGAGGAGTGTACAATGGTGCTTCTGTGCTTTTCCCCTGGTAGCCCTAATGCCAGACGTGTGGAATTTTTAGCTCGGCATTGAGAGAATAAAATGTCACTACCTCTCATCTTATGAACAGGATAATATAATTCTTTAACAGCTACAGGTTATCTAGTTGAAATCGACTGGATTTTACAGGATTCGTGGTGTAAAATGTTTTGATGAGAATTTTTTAAAACGTGGGTAATGTTTTCAGATATGGGAGGAAAGGCCAGATGTTTACAAGGGAGGCCTTTATTGCCACCTACTTGCTCTGATACATCCCTGCTTTGAGTCTCATCTTTCCTTGAATATTTTATTGGCCTGACATTAGTCCTTCTCAGTTCTTTTTCCAGATTGTGACCATGATTCTAAAGGAAAATATCTTCTTTTAGTAGGTGTTTTAAATGGAAATCTGGTTTCAAAATGGCTGATGGAAATAGACATAAGCAAAATACTTTTTATTGGTACATCGTGAATATGAATTGAGTTCTTTTTCACGTTCATATCCAAGAAAAGGGTTGTAGGTTTCTGAAAGACAAATATATAAGAACTTAACCACCCAAATTTTTAAAAATTAACTTTCAGCATTTCTACATTTGGGTGAAAGGGATAGAGTGTGACGCATGGTGCAGCTGCTCTGCATTTATAAGGAAAATGTAAGCTATCTGGAAAGGTGGGATGCTAAAATTTAACCCTGTTTGTCAAAGTTCAGTTTCCATATCACTGAAACTCTGTACTTACTGATTCCTTTTGAGAGAAATATAGTCAGTCAAATGATGAACACTAAGTTTGAAACAAGTTGGGTACCAAGTTAACCTACTGATTGAACTCTCTGACCTCACTTTTAATAATTTTTAGACTGGCCGGATGCCACTTCTTAAATAAAGCACGCACTGCACTGGCTTTGTTAGACTGGAGTTCATTAACTACAATGTAATCATTCCTCCTATTGCTGATTTCAGATTGGAACCAGTAGAGACCCTGGTCACTGAAAGTAAAAGTCTAAACATTACTTACACTTGAAAGTTCCTCCTTTGACATTATTTTAAAATGCCAAATATGTTCTTCCTCGAAAAATACTTATTTTTGTTTCTGTTGTATACCTTTTAAGAGAAGTGTGATTTGGGGTCAATACTTATTACATTTCTTAAGTGTTTACTACTATGAAACAGATTTCAATGACTGGTGATTATTGGTTTTACAGAAATTTCAAAGACCTATTTTTAAAAAACCATTAACCATTTAAAATTTGTTTTGTTTTCTGACATACTCTGTTTGACTAAGAGCAGCAAACCGTTGCTGTATAGCATTCTTGGAGTGTGCTGTGAACATGCTTTTTAAGAAATTAAAAATGAAGAAATCATTTTAGAATTGGTTCTTTGTGTGGTTTCTTCCTGTTCCTTATATTAACTTAGGTCCTGTCACCAAGTTACCCTTTTGCATAAAAATAAAGCAGTACTATTTTAAGCAGTTTTTTCCCCTCAAACTTCTCATATTTAGATTTCACTTTTAAATTACTTCACATTACAGATAGGTTTTACCTTTCCTATAGCTCAGACAGTAAATTTTCCACACAGAGGAAAAAGAAAGTGGAAACTGTTTGCTAAATAAAGAATAAATACAAGCGGGGGAAAAAACCTAAAATATGGAAATAATATTTTGCCTCACTTTAATGAAAGTGAATAATAAAATAAGTTATCAAAACAAGGATGACTGTAGGGAATTTTTATCTCAAGATAAAAATGGCCAGTTTCCTCTTTATGAAAAGTCATTTTTTTATGCTTACAAAACTACGACATGCATAGAAATGCTACGTCCTTTGTATTCTAAAAACCAGTTTACAGCGTGGCGTACCTCCCTGCCATCCCCCCTCCGCATGTGATTCTCTTTGTTTTTAATCTTTGAAGGAAAGCAGGGCGGTGGGAGTGAGGCAGCTGACTGAAATGCTGGTCCTGGTAGACCCTCTCCAAGGAAGATGGAGATGGAGGCTGAGACCCCTTTTTGCTGTCCATTTGGGCTCTGGGCATCAGAGAAATTGTTGTCTGCGCCTTTTAAAATTCGGAGCTGTTCGTTTCCCAGCACTTTAGAAATTGGGTGGGAAAAGCTCATCTGATTGTATTTTCAAACTTCAAAATGTATTTTTGAAGAGACATTTTTTTAATTGGCATCTTAAAGGGATTTCATAAAAATTAGAGAATGATTTGTTTTGTAAGTTTATTTTATACTTGGAGACATCAATTTATTTGCAAGCAAGCTTGTTTTTACTCTTGATTTCCTATTTGTCCCCCATTAAAAAATATTACAAGGTTACATTTGGGAAAGCATTATTTTTGCTATTCTGGGCTTTCCAGCTTTCTCTCAAACATAGCTTTTTGAGGGGTTAAGATCAATATATTAGAAAGATAAAGTAGCAGATGGAGGGGGAAGGTGGGGTGTTCATTACAGAATAACAGAGAGCTGCTACTTAGAGCTCCATAAACTTTAAAAAACCACTCTACTGTCTTTTGGGACAGAAAGAACACAATTAGAATACTTGTCACTATAAGAATAGTTGGTCCAACCAACAGAGCCACCCAGCCAGGGCAAGCCTCAGACATACTGGTATTTAACAAGGGCCTTTGCCTGCTTGGAATGCTCTTCCACTAGCTTATCCACAAGTCTCCATGCTTCAGGTGTCTGCAAATTTCATCTCAGTCCATTAGTTACCTACTGCTGCATAACAAATTACCTCAAAACTTTGTGATTTAAAACAAACATTATCTCACACAGCTGCTGAGAGTCAGAATCTGGGAATGACTCGGCAGGGTGGTTTTGGCTCAAGGTCTCAGGAGGTTTCAATCAAGGTGTCAATGAGACCCTGGCTGGTGTGGTTCAGTTGGCTGAGCGCTGTCCTGTGCACCAAAAGGTCGCCGGTTTGATTCCAGTCAGGGTTCACGCCCAGGTTTCGGGTTTGACCTCCAGTAGTGGGTGTGCAGGAGGCAGCTGATCGATGATTCTCTCTCCTTGATGTTTCTCTCTCTCCCTCTTCCCTCTCCCTCTAAAATGAATAAAAACATGTTTAAAATGAAGATGTCAGTTGAGAATCGTGTGAAGGAAGGTCTGATTGGGAGCAGAGGACCCCCTTCCAAGACAGTTCCCTCATGCTGTTGGCAGAGGCCGCAGTTGCCCACTGGCCGGTGGGAAGCTTCAGCCCTTGGAGACAGCAGCCTTTCCAAAGCCCTCCTGAGTGTCCTCGACGCTTTCCCCAAAGCACTGATCCAAGGAGGAGCAAGGCAGGAGCCGCAGGGCCTTTTATAGCCTCGCATCAGAGACACGCTCTGTCCTTTGTGCAATGCTCACTACACAGGGCAGCCGCCAGCTGGGAGGGCCTGCAGTCAGGAGTGCCTGGAGGTGGCGGTCTTGGGCCCTCGGAGGTGGGCTACCACAGTATTTGAGCCTTTACGAGTATCACCGTCCCCTGGTTTATTTTTTCCGTAGAACTTATTTCTACCTGACATGTATTACTCATTTTATTTCTACTCACTAAACATTACTTGGTGAGAGTAGGATTGTTGCTAGCTTTATTCATTGCTGTATTCCCACACACTTGAGTAGAAGCTCAAATATATTTTGAATGCCTGAATGCATAAGCACGTGGTTCAAAGGTTAAAATTGGGAGCATTAGGTTGGAAATGACATAGACTCTGATCCAATTAGGAAAAGTCTTTACTAGCTGTGCTAGAAGGGGACACTACCTCCTTATCATCAGAGTCACGGATACAAGGGCTGGATGACCTCATGGTGGGTTTGTTACAGAGGAGCACGAGATGGCTACTTGGATTTGTTCATATTTATGGGCCTTTCTATGTCTTCTATTACCCTATCTTTCAAAACACTTTTTCTGCTTATGAATACACATGTATTTTTAAAATTCAAATAATGCCAAAGGTGGAAAAAAGAAAACAAATCACTCACAGTACAAGATAACCACCATCTAGCTACATTATACTGAATGCTTTTTATATACATGTATACATAAATGTGTAAGGACACATGCAGTCACGCAAAATACTCATGAAATGAAAAGGCTGCAAAATCAGGACACAGAGTCAAGATTTCCCAGTAAATATAGTTAACTTTTAAAAAACAGTTCCTTTTATAAAAATTACTCATGCTTACTTTAAAACCAAAAGGAATTTAGAAAGTTCAAAGAAGAATGCAAAAGTTATGTGAAAACTTGCCAAGCCATGAGAACCACTCTACAAATGTTGGTACCTATCCTTCCAGACATATAGTCTGAAAGAGAATTAATACACAAAGCAAAGAAAACCAGAAAAGCCTGTGTGATTTTATTAGGTTTCACAAACTGCCAGAAGCACCTTTTAAATCCCAGGCGTTACACTTCTCAACAAAGAACACATAAGAAAACAAACCAATTATGAATGTATGAATGACAGGCACCTTACCATCCAGGGGTGAGCTGACTCGGGGCTGCACTTCGCTCTCCCCTGCCCATTGGGAGCTCACCTGCTCCGAGGCTGGAGTGCCCGCTGGCCCAGCCGCCCTGACTGTAGCTCGCAATGCGTTCTGCGTGCCCTTCAGCTCTTACCTGTCCCCTTCTGCCGGGCCAGCCTCGGCCTCACTGGGAGCAGCCATCACGGAGTAGAGTGGCAGCCGATGTCAGGTGCTCCCCTGGGCTTCCTGCTCTCGCCGCCCGGGCTTCTCAGGCTCTGCTGCCCGGTGGCTGTGCAGCACCTCCAGGAAAGGCACAGGCCTCCTGCTTCCACAAAACAATGAAAACAAAGACCCTAATTAGTTTGTTGAATTGTTCCGTGTTTTACTGTTTCCAGAAGAACCAAAAACTGCTGAGGAACCATGAGGAAACCTTTTACGTTAATACTCTTCTAAGAAATCCTATCAGCCAACACCATGCACGTGTTCCCGTGGACCAGGGCCGTGTGCTGGCTCTGCCGCCCCTCTGCTCAGCAGGGCCAATTACACACGTGCCCTGCTGCCTCCGGCGAGCGCCCGCAGTTCAGCTGGTGACTCTGCAAGTGGCACACGTGGTCCCAGCAGCTGGGCGTGGGGCAGCGCTTTCCCCGTGGCGAGCAGGAGGCAGGAAGGGCAAGCTGTGCCCAGGCCCTGCAGTTTTCTGTTACATAAACATCACCCACAACTGAGACCATACCTCACGTAATGTAACATTAATAAACACAACGAACACATAGGCATTATTTTACCAAATCACAACTTAAATTCAGTTTAATTCTAGGGCACATCTTGGTCCCAGTATTTTATTTTTAAAACTGATGTTAAGGGCATTTCAATTTATATTATTAGCTCTGACCATAACAGGGACTGTTGTATGCAAAGCTTTTCAGTCACAATAAAATAGTTATGAAAAGGCAATAACTTGAGTCTTTTCCCGTTAGCTTTAAAGTGCATCATATTCCTCTAAAATATTTCCCGTGGTATACGTTTACTGTTTCCTTGTTTACTTTCCCTAATGTCTGTGCTGTACCTGTGTCCTACGTCCTTCCCTGAAAGGAACCGCCTCCTTATTCAACTTTCCAAACCCTGACCGGTCTCGCCCCGCCTCCAGGGGCCCCCCAGCTCCACGTCATAGTCCAGGCTCCCCGCGACCTGACTGCTGCTGGATGCACTTTCTAGAGCAGTGGTTCTCAACCTTCCTAATGTCGCGACCCTTTAATACAGTTCCTCATGTTGTGGTGACCCCAACCATAAAATTATTTTCGTTGCTACTTCATAACTGTAATGTTGCTACTGTGATGAATCGTCGTGTAAATATCTGATATGCAGGATGTATTTTCATTGTTACAAATTGAACATAATGAAAGCATAGTGATTAATCACAAAAACAATATGTAATTATATATGTGTTTTCCGATGGTCTTGGCGACCCCTGTGAAAGGGTCGTTCGACCCCCAAAGGGGTCGCGACCCACAGGTTGAGAACCGCTGCTCCAGAGGCACATCCGTGGCCTCCGGGGATGCCAAGCAGGGGCTTTGGGACTGTGTCGGTGAGGCAACCGCAGGGGGGCAGCTCACCCCCGGGGCTGCGGGGGGCCCCGGGTGTACGGACCGGGCACTGCCATCC